CGTTATTTCTTGAATTCACTTCACCACAACGGATGTGCTGACTTATTTCTTCCAAGTGCGGTGTTACTGCTGAAAAGCGAATGAAAACGATATCGCATGAATTTTAGCGCACGTCTGGGGAAGTAACCTCCACCTTACAGAAGACTGCAGCTCACAGTTAAAAACGGAGATGTGCTGTTCACATGCGATAGAAGTGAAACCTACAAAAATGTGAATACGTAAAAGTCCTTCATGACTAGGTACGTATTAAAGACAGCACCTGTGTTAAAATTCAACTCTCTAGGTCAAAGTTAAATGTTTTATTCTACTTAAATTGTTTCGAAAAAATAATTATATATTAATAAAAGAATAAATAATAAATGTCCGTTATGTTCAAAGACATTATTAGCAAGCAAGAAATAAACTGTATTAGACATGATTTTATTTATTTTTAAGCATTTAACTGCTAGATGTTAAATCTAAAGAAAAGTTTACTAGAAAAAAATCCACGCGGACCAGGCAGCGGACGGGACTCGAACCCGCATCCTTCGCTATCCGGGCGAATGCACTGACCATTATTACTGCTTCGCATTGTGGGTTACCTACAATGCGAAGAGATGGCGCTGCCTTGCAGCTTAAGGCTAGGAAAATTTCGACGCGGCTAATAGGGCCATAATGGTCAGTGCATTCGCCCGGATAGCGAAGGATGCAGGTTCGAGTCCCGTCCGCTGCCTGGTCCGCGTGGATTTTTTTCTAGTAAACTTTTCTTTAGATTTAACATCTAGCAGTTAAATGCTTAAAAAATAAATAAAATCATAACTATAATTGCTATTTCATCTTTCAAATGTTTAATACTTGAAAAAGTATTCATTTGACATTGTGGGTTACCTACAATGCGAAGAGATGGCGCTGCCTTGCAGCTTAAGGCTAGGAAAATTTCGACGCGGCTAATAGGGCCGTGGTAGCATAATGGTCAGTGCATTCGCCCGGATAGCGAAGGATGCGGGTTCGAGTCCCGTCCGCTGCCTGGTCCGCGTGGATTTTTTTTCTAGTAAACTTTTCTTTGTATTAGACATATCAGACGATATACATTAAATAAATATTGTACAACATCGTATACATAATATTACTATATCAAAAATTAGTTAATAGAAGCTTTTGTAATAAGGGAATCATAAAAAAACTACGACAAAATAATCAGCTAGATAGAAAAATAAAAAAATAAAATTTTATGAGTGGGCCCGACCAGGGATCGAACCCAATAGCTTGCGAAATTGATTGATTACAAAAACACTGCCTTGATTTTGCGATAGATATAAAAATGATGAAAAAAATTTACAAACGTATAATACATACGCGTATACATAACACCACGGTTGTTGTGCCTTTTCTCAAGCTTTGTCTCCCAAGCGTCCCACGACACTTGAGTCTCATAAAATTTTGTCAGTCAAATGTCCGAGGATACGAGTATCCTTTGAGGGCGGTTCTGTTTTTTGGTCATTAGCCCGCCTTAGAAGGCATCCTTATCGCTGCATCATTGTGGTCTCTTTAGTTTAGACAAAATATGTAGGTAGACGCGCTCCGCGAAAAATGGTAACGTCGTAGACGTTTCAACCGAAATGACCCCAATTTTGTAGAAAACACTCTTTTCTTATTATTTAATCTTAAACTGTGATATATACACATGTTCCTCAAGATTTACCCGAGTCATTGATGTGACAAGATCCTAATTTAATTTGCGTTACAATTAAAAACTTACAAAAATTTGACCGCGTAAAAGTTTTATTTGTATCTTAGGATTTTCTCGAAATATTTATTTATGAAAAATTACTCTAAAATTGGCGAACATTGGAAAGGTAAGGATTGTTGATAAAAACCAAGCCTGTAAATAAATACTTAACTATTCAGGTAATGTAAAATACTGAGCAATTTTAAATATTCTATACTTAAATTGTTTCGAAAAATAAATAATAGCTTAATAAAAGAAAAAAAAAAAACTAATTACCGAGCTGAAGATCGAACCACCGATCAGTTGGTGTCGAACCCAAGACCGTTACCGTTCGGCTATCCGTCTCTTAAGGTAAATGTCAAAATTGGATACTTGTCTTGTGTCAAATACTCTACTTCCGTTTTATCGATTGGTGGGGAAGTTTTCACTTCAATAACACAACTTTTTGATACTGTTGAGTTTCTGTCGGTGAGAAAGGTTCAAGGGCTCCACGAGTAGGGGGTGGGGTCAGGGTGAGCAACGGCGCGAGAGATATTATTTGTATCGCGAGTCTTTAGGCTATGATGGCAGCTTACCATCAGTCTACTTATACGCCATGCCATTGTTTGCCATTCTTATGCAGCTGATTTACAGGGATTTATATTGCTGAGCCATAACGCAGTTTAGAGCTGGCGCAGAAAGCCAGCGCGCGTACTATGCTTGAATTACTTAGTTGGCAAAGAAAAATGACTTGGTTGACTGGCAGAGAATGCTTTAACCGTTAAGTCTGCCTTTTGTCTATTTTGCAATTGTGGCAATAAAGTTTAAATAAATAAATAAAAATGCTGCTCTGTCCATGATAAGAATAAGACTGCAATTTTCAGTAACGCGGAAGATATTTTCCTAGATGGGCAGTCTAGTTAAGAGGATACCTATTTAATCACATTCCATTCCTTCAATGCCGGTCAACAATATTAAATACCCTAGATACAACAACACGAACAAAATCATAGCCAATGCGTGTCCAAAAGATACATTGGACGATCCACTGACCCCGTAAGATAATCTCGTGATCAAAAACAATATAAGACATTATACTCGTTATACATTGAAAGTAACATTTAATGGATACTGTATAAGGTCTTAATTAAAACGCATGCGTCAAAGACTTACGACAGTTCGAAATGCAAGCTTGTAAGATTTTACGACTTATTGCAATATTTGGAAGAATATAGACCTATTTTTTTTGACGCTACGCGCAATTCTGAATGCTCTGTTAGCAATATAGCAGGTGCGGACCGCGAGGAAAAGAGACGACTATACGGCGACCGACGTATAGCCGACCATGCATTTGAATATCACAAATATTTTATACTAAATCAGTTTATAGTAAGTATTAGAATAAAATTTGCGTTAAATTAACAAACATTGATTGATACCTGTCAAAAAAAAACGACACTACGTACTATAATTTTTTTTTTCGCATTTTTTCCGGAGCTCTGCGGCATCTTGACTTTTGACTGTGGACCAAGAAGTGCTTGAGGGGTGTTCAAGCACTTCTTGATTGAGGCACTAGATACACCATAGCACTCAAAATGTGCCTCAATCAAGAAGTGCTTGAACATAGGGTATTTAAAATTGTTGATGTTGGTTACCAAAAACTACAGCGAAAGTAACCAACATTTAGATAGAAAGCGCTCAACTTGAATTTAACATTGCGAGTGCAGGTGTGGCGTTGTGAAGCTCGTGTCCAGTTATATAAAGCAGAAGCACTTCAATAATATGGGGTACCTATACGTTGTGTGACCTAAATTGTTAAAATATTTGCGGGCTGCCGAGATATTGCCATGTTAAATGACAATCTAACTGACTGTGTAAATGACATTGTAAACGTATAATCAATGTTATGCAATACAAGCCATATCGGTAAAATACATAGATATGACATCTATGGATTTTAAACTGGGTTGTTTAACACGTTAAAATAAAGTTTCTTTTATAATTCAGAGCGCTGTTATCATTTTCAACCGAATTCAAAAAGAAGGAGGTTTTCAATTCGGTCGGTATATTTTTTTTATGTATGTAAACCGATTACTCTGAGGTTACTTATCTGATTTTGCGTGATTTTTATTGGATGTGGAATAGTTGCCATTTGATCCCCTAAAAATATATGTAGTTTGGTCCAGTAGTTTTTATTTTATAAGTATTTTCACGATTCTTTGTTTGGTATACATCGATATCTTAAAGATTTTTGATCCGATTTGAATGATCTTTCTTTTGTTTTATGAGAGATACCGTTTCGTTCCATGGAAAATATTTAGTTTGACCCAGTAGTTTTTATTTTATAAGCATTTTTGTTTACCCGGACGATGTCATTTTCATTAAATGGGGTGAAAAAAAGATTTTTTCATCCCAAAATCTGAAGTGGAACTAAAACTTTAAAAATATATATATTTAGTTCCACTTTCGATTATGAAGTCGGTTTATTCTTTTTGTGTTTAATATCCTTCTCCATATTTCATGTCATTGTATTGTTGTAACTCCATAATGAAGAAAACGATGTTTACGTAGACGTGACGTAGGCAATGTTAAAACTGAAAACTCGTAGAAAGGTCTGCTCCTAATCAGCGCTTGGTTTGGGATGGTTAACACAAACAAAAAAAATACTTATTATATATTTCTCAACTGGCATTCCATTATATATGGAAGCAGATAAATCGAGTTATAAGCCAGTCACACAGAACGGCTTGAAACTAATGAACGTACACAGTGTTGCGTTGTGGTACTAGTAATGGCAATCCAACTAGACAGGACCAACAGTATTAAGATGCCAAACATTGAGACAATGTACAGAAGCTTCGTCAAATTAATCCTGAATTTATTATTTATGCTGGGCGAGCTGCAAACGACATTGTTGTTCTCTGTTATATAATTAATAAATTACCTACAAGTAGACTTCATCCAGATTAAGATTGAGCTCCGCTGAATTAAATCCAGCGCTTTCAGTATAAGAAGAAGGTACTTAATTGAGTAAGAATAACATTGAATTTTTGACTAATATGTTATTTAAGGAATTGATGGATAAATAATAATAAAGCAATGTGGTTGAAATATTTTCTTTTTCAAATAAATTATTTTCTAACTTAGATACAAGTAGTTGAGAAAACTTTTTAACAGTTTTCACTTTCGCCACGAGTTGAAAACTTTCCAGCGTTTACCAAAATTGGTTTAAGTATAAGCTCGCTTGAATGTTAAGATATTAGTTCACTTTGGATATTCTCTCTTAAACACAAAATGAAACTGCGATGGATAAAGAGAATTCATAATTTATTTTCTAGACAGGTATATTTTTGTATTCACATCCATCATGTACAAAAGTAAAGGGGTGTAAATATATCTCTGAAAATGTAACAAGGTAACATAATGTGTCGAGCTAGATGAGGTCAGTCGGGTGGAGGTGTGGGGAGCGGGGGCGGGGCGGGGCTACGGGGGCGCGCGTCGGCGGCGCGCACGCCGGCCACACAACAACCGCTGAAACGCGTGCCGGAATTCCGGGCTGAATACTGTGTAGATCACAGGGTTCAGCGCCGAGTTGAAATAACCCAGCCATAGTGACAACGAAGTCAGCACGGGACTCACTTCACAATCGCACGTGGGCACTAATATAGCCAACACGAAAAACGGAAGCCAGCACGCCACAAACGCGCCCGTAATTATTGCCAATGTTTTAGCTGCCTTTCTCTCTCTCTTCGAATCGGCGGCCTCCTTGGGCTTGCGCCGCACTAAAGTGGGGTAGTAAGCGGCGGCGACGGCGCCGTAGCCCGTCGTGGGGGGGTCAGCCTCGAGGCCGTTGGCGCATGACTGTTTCTCGGGGCTTGTGTTATTGGATGATACGTTTGTGAAGCCCGTGGTGGTGGTTTCGGAGATAGTGGGCAGCGGGCGGCCTATGACGGCGACGACTGCCGCCGCGATACCGCCGCTGCCTCCTGCAGCCACCAGCGCTCCTCCAGACGGCACCGGCGGAGGCCCCACTCCTCCCCGTGCCGTCGCCCCTCGTCGCCGACGTATTCTTTTTCTGGCTGTCTGATATATCCGCCAGTACAATATAAGGATTATAAGAACTGGCACGTAAAACGACGATGCAGTCGCGAATATTTGGTAACCGACGTCTTGACTCACGACGCAGCGCAAGTCTTCAGATACGCGCCGGTTCCAATCTGGGTCTTTCCAGCCCAGTAAAGGTGCGATGCATACGAGAAAGCTGACGATCCACACACACGCTATCATGACCCCCACTCGTCCCGCCGTCCTTGCATGTATGTAGTCAATGTTCGTTACAGCGCGGTACCTTGAAAGAATATTATTAGAGTTATTTACGTGTACGTTAACTTCGCTTTATTTTTTGGTAAGATGTTTTCTATGTATAGTGGAGGCAACAAACTAAAGAGAAGAAAACCGTTCATTGATTGATGTTCATTTTTACGTTTTGACTGAGTTAAATATTTTCAACAGATTATAGTAGCAAAAAATTGGGTAGATAAATTAGACCAACCTATCGAGAGCGATCGCAACCAAGTGGAGGATAGATGCTGTACAGCAGAGCACGTCTCCCGATGTCCACATGTCGCAGAGCTCAGGGCCTAGTGTCCAGCGCTGCGCCACCTCGTAAACTGCGCCCAGCGGCATCACCAGGCACGCGACCAACAAATCTGCCACGGCCAGCGATAGGATCAACTGGTTGGCAGCACTGCGCAAGTGCCGCTCCAAAAGGATTGCCGCTATTACAAATACATTACCTAGAAAAAACAGAAAGAACGTGTTTTTAAACTTCTACGAATAATGTTAATTCTTAAGCGGGTTGCACAACACATACATATCAACATCATCAGCCTATTAATGTTCCAGCCAGAGAGAGATTGGGCCATTACTTCCCAACCGGACCCAGTGGGGGATTGGTGGGTGTTAACGACTGTAGATGCAGCCGGGATCAACGGCTTGACGTGCCTTGCGGAGCACGGAGGATCTCGAGATAATATTTTTTTTGTCAGCCATCCAATGACCGACCACTGCGAAAGTTTCTTAACTTCAACGACGGCAACCGAACGTGCTAATGAATTGCGCCATCAATGATAATATGCACACACATATAATCATTTTATAACATGTGTTTACAATGTTACTTCTTACATAACTAGAAGAGAGTTTGGAGTTTATTATACACAGGCGCTTTCGTTTCGATTAGGCATTAGTTGTACATAATTACGTCATCACGCATTAGCTGTGAGGCAGGTCAGGTATACCGTTTTTGTGTTTGAATTGTACCGCCGCCGTAGGGTTCTACAAAGTGAAGGCTGCCTTCACTTTGTAGAAAACTGGTAAACATAAAACATAAGTTTGATTCCATGGAAGATGGGCCGGGTACTGGTATGGGATGCAACCTGTTCAGACACGCTGGCCCTTTCCCATCTACATGGAATCAACAACAGAGCTGTTGCGGCTTGTGAAGCGGCTGAAAAAGCCAAAGCATGCAAATACAGGGGTCTAGGCTCCGAATATGATTTTGTCATATTTGGCGTCGAGACCCTTGGTCCGTGGGGTCCTAACGCTATAAGGTTTTTTATGGAAATATCAAAAAGGTTAGTTGACATCACTGTAGACCGAAGAGCTGGCAGCTACCTCGGACAAAGAATTAATTTAACCTTGCCTAAAGGGACTCCTTTTAATAACATATTTTAGTTATTATATTATATTTTTAAGGTTTTTAGTTTTAGGTTCATTGTACATAAAACTATAATAATAATAATATAATTTATTTGCCAAAAGTCCTTGGCTTTTTCATAACGTTGAAGTACTGTTCGAGCTTTTAAATAACATTGCACCCCGACAAGAAATGTACTATGTATATTTATTTGTCAGTTTTGTTTTATAAAAGGTAACGATAATTTTTATTTTATTTTGTTATTTTAATTTTTTATTGCATACAATGGGTATTCTCCCTGAGTCGACGTGTCCCTATTGCCACAATTTATCACGAAAGTTTACGTCGCGAGGTCTCAAGATACATATTACGCGCATACACAGGGATGTACTCGCCCCTATCTCAGCCCCCGCAGCCACCGTCCGTTGCCGCACCGGTTATTGCCTCATCATCGCCGGAAACAGCTAATCCGCAGTCTTGCGACCGTTGCATATTACTCGATCAGCTTGCAACACTTAGGGACACAGTTCGTGTTCTGCGTCACATTCCAAAAGGTGCGAGGAGTGTGGTCATTGATGGTTGTGTCGCCAGTTATGGGTTGGAAGAGTGGAGTTCTCTTTTTTCTTTCTCTTACACTGCCTTTAGAACCTCCGAAAAGGCCGGTAATGGCTCTCTTACTTCTAAAGTAAAAGTAAACGTAGGTGTAGTCCGTTGTTTTTCTTCCGCTGACTGCGCGTTGTTAGTGAGGAAGCCACTGTCACTGACAAGGGTAATTGAGTCTAAAGTCCACGAGGGTGCTTTGAGGGGAGCGGTTCGGTTACTCATGAGCGAAGACTCCATTGCACCGCCGGGACCGGACACTGTTGCTGCTCTTCAATCAAAACATCCACACCCGTCCCGTCTTCTTCATTTTCCACTGGAGCCGGTCTCGTACATTCGGGGGTTATTGGTGACGGAGGAGGATGTGGTACTGGCTGTTAACTCTTTTTATAATGGATCAGCTGCCGGCTTAGATGGCATTCGTCCTTCCCATTTGAAGAAATTGATTTCTAGCTCTGCGGGAGATAATGGTCAGCGCTTGATTAAAGCCTTAACTAGACTCAGTAATTTTTTGCTCTGTGGGCAATTGAATCCTGATGTGTGTGTCCCTATTTATATAGGGCGACACTGTGTGCCTTGGAGAAGAAGGAGGGTGAGTTGAGACCTATCGCAGTAGGGAGTGTGATTCGGCGCTTAGTGGCCAAGCTGGGATGCCGAACTGTGAAGGAGCAAATGGCTTCCTACCTTCAACCACATCAATTAGGTTTTGGGATACGTCTAGGTTGTGAGGCGGGAATACATGCCGTTCGGACTTTTGCAATGGATCCGGAGAAAGTGGGTGGAGTGATAGTTAAGCTAGATTTAAAGAACGCCTTCAATACTCTTGAAAGGGACGTCATGTTTCATGCGGTGATGAAGAATATCCCTAAGCTTTATCCTTTCCTCGAGTTCCAGTGCTCATGGGACGACGTTAATTGTAAAGCTACACTTAAACTGCTTACTAATGGTACCGTGGGAGTCGATCTGGCGAGGATTTAGGCGGTGTCACAGCCTGAATCCGGGGCGTGGCTGCACGCGTTACCTTCGCCTCATATGGGCACTTTACTTGACGGTGACTTCTTGCGGGTGGCGGTCGCCCTCCGCTTGGGCTGCGATGTATGTCAACCACATGTATGCATCTGCGGTACCATGGTGGGGGCTGACGGCCATCACGCATTGAGCTGCCGTCGATGTACAGGCAGACACCCACGTCACCATGCTCTAAATGACATAGTGTTGAGAGGTCTTAGGTCGGCCGGCGTTCCTTCCGTCCTCGAAAACCTGGTCTCAGCCGCACAGACGGAAAACGGCCTGATTGTCTTACATTGGTACCGTGGGAGAAGGGACGATGTTTGGTGTGGGACGCGACGCGTGTCAGTACTTTCGCCGCTATCCACATCGGCCGCACGACACGCAAGGCTGGGGCGGCTGAGTATTAGGCAACGGCAAAGCGCTTAAAATATTCCTCGTTCGGGCAAGGATATATTTTTGTGCCTTTGGCGGTGGAAACGGCGGGTTGTTGGAGCGCCGAGGCCAAGCAATTTGTGTGGGACCTGGGCCGCCGACTCAGGCAAAAAACTAATGACCCTCGCTCCGGGTCGTTTCTGGCACAAAGATTGTCTATTGCCATCCAGCGTGGCAATGCTGCAAGCATAATGGGCACCTTTGCGCCAGAAACGCTATTTGAATATTATTAGTATTTGTATATTGTTCTTGTTCATAATGTTAACTTTAGTTATTATATTATATTTTTTAAGGTTTTTGGTTTTAGGTTCATTGTTCCTGTATATATATATTTTTAATCCATAAGTTTGTATGATTTTAGTTATTATTACTTAAACTTTCATGGTCACTAACATTATAGTAATATAAGTTATTTACGGGATTGTAACTAACTTATATTACTATAATGTTAGTGACCATGAAAGTTTAAAAAACAAGGTACATGGTAACAATCCCGTAAATAACTTATATTACTATAATTATTATTACTTGTTTGTATTTTATAAGTTATTAATTTTATTGTATTTAAATAAAGTTTACTATCTGGAATTTGCCAAAATACAGATCATAGGTTGATACATTTTATAGAAGTAAGTACATGTATTCTACCTGCAGGCAGGTGTGCAAATATTGAAGTCAGCTATTTTGTCATCTATCATTATATTCTTTAATACTATAACATTTTTTTTGTTACCTTTTTGTCAACTTATTTTTGAACATTGTTCCAGTTTCTAATTTTATACTGTCGGGTAATTTATTATATATACATATTAACATGTTGTAGGCATTAACTTTATAAATATATGCGTGGCATGTTATCCTATTAAATTACGTAATGAGAAGTGGTTTCAAAACTTTGTTGTCATACAGTAAATTAATCTTCATTATGTTTCTAACATTTAAACATGTATGGAATAATACCGTTTTACGCTAAATTAAATGCTATTTAATATCGTTGGTAGGTATAATTAATATCGTTGGTACGTACCTCTAATATTTAACTTATGTGTTGTGTGCGGCACTACACTTCAACACTACGACTGGCAGCTTCTTTTGCGCTATGGCAATTATAATCTATTGGAAATTTGAAAGATATCTCAAAGTTAATCAAGACATGAATGGTATGTCTAGACTAGATAAAACCACATTGTGATGGGAGTGAAGATTACGGCGAGGCACGAGAATTATGTACTTCAATGCCCTTTTAACGCTCACGCATACAACAGCCGCGGCGGATCATAGTATATAAATCTAAAAGTAAGGAAACTACTTACAAACTTTCGAAACGACACACGCCCACAGATGCACGTGCCCCTAAGCGGACATTCTACCATCGCTGACAGTTATTGTAGCAGTTCAGTGGATGGCTGTTGAAATGGCAGTGTTGAAATTCGTAAAATTGAAATTATTTTTGAATTGTAATATAAAATTGGTTTGTATTTTTATTTTCTAGTTTCATTCTCAGCAATAAATCAAACATAGATGTTTGTATATGAGTGCCACTACCACGATAGTTTTTTGCGTATAAGGCAATAGTGCTATGAAAAGTAAAGTACATATATGAGTTTGAATTCTGTATCTATCTACTGTGTGGTTCTGACGTCAATTTACTGCGCCTCCCAACGTGCACTGAGGCGGGCCGGATCGCAACGCATAATATCGCCTAGCAAGATATCCGCCAGTGCGTTACGTTACGGCTCGCCTGTAATAATAAAATATGATAAAGTGATATAAGGAGATTTTTGTTATGCGATGCGTTGCGGTGCGGCCCTCCATACTGTGCGCGGGCCTTTAAAAGTCTTTAATGCGTTTCAAGGGATGTGAGTTGATACGCGATATGAATAGCGACCGAATAGGCCAAAAACTGGGACATATTTTTTATACGACCCATTAGAAGAATGGATTATTTTTTTCTATAATGGGTCCCGACTGTTAAAGTTGCTTTATTCCTTACTTAACAGAATTATAGACTAGTGGACTTATTTTTTTCTTTTCAGTTTTTGTTTTTGTTTTCAGTAACTGCCTTGACGTCCTCCTGAATAGTTTGTCGTTGGTTTTCCATGGCTTCCTTGAGCGCTTGTCGTTGTCTTGTCGTTGAATCTCCTTGAAGTCCTCAATAGCTTGTCGTTAACTCTTCTTCACGACTTTGATAGCCGCCAGCAATGTCGATAAGTCGAGCGTAGGCGCCGTGGCAGAAGTGGTAACACCATTGTTGTGAGCAACTTGTGGTGGGCTGGTCTCTTCATCAGGCGCCGCTACTCCCGACTCCCGTGAATGGTTCATTACGGCCTACTGTTGAGTGCGCACGCCTTCACTTCCGTCACGCGGTGTGACTGGCATGTCACTTCTGTCACCAGTTGTTAGGCGTCCGGATGGGGTTCGATATTATATACCAGTTCACGTTTGACAGTATTTTATTCACCACAGAGTTCACACAGTTATTATTCACAATACACTTACTAAACACTGTACTTCACTAAACAAGTATTTAAACAATCGCACTTGAACACATTACTTGCACTTTGAACTACTTTATATTCGTTCCGAAATCGCTGATGAAGTCAACTGTCTCTGATCGTGCTTATATACGCCAATAGACAATTTCTGGAAAAGTCCCGTTAAATAGAGAGTTAACTAGCACCCGCGAGTGCGTAGTACCTACTTATAACTACGTAGTTAACGCGGATAAGCTGTAAACAAGTGCAGATGTCGTTGCATTTTTTCGCTTACATCGTACTGCATAAGGCTCATATTAGAATGAGTCGCACCGCTCGACCTTTATCGCGATCCGCGGTGTTCTGGTCAATTCTGTCACTAGTATTATGCGATTTTGTTTCGAGAGCATTTGTGACAGTATTTTTCTGACCTCGGAAATTAAAAGGTGTTCAATTTGAGTGCATATAGTTTTATTGTTGTGCGCGCGTTCGGGTTTTCAGAATTTGAAAAAAGCTTTTTTGCGTTTGGTTAAAGTAAGATATATAAAAGAGAAGATTCGTTCTTCTTTATCCTGGCAAATAGGAATGACGACTGAGTAAACGAAATTCTATTTAGTTCTTCAGTTAGATTATCAGAAAACAATGGACACATAATTTTTCTTCTATCAATGAACCAAAAAATTACTAAAATAAAAGCACGTTAAAGTTTGGGACTATAAGTGAAAATTGAACCAAGAAGTGACGTGTCAAAAATAGATGTCTAATATTTTTATTATTATCTACTTGATAGACGACGATGAAAAAGTTGGTCATCAACCCTATTACGATTATAAAAATACGTAAATCGCATTGCATCGCAACACATTTACAGGAAATTGTTAGATAAGCATGTTCTTCGAAACACTGAGAGAAATACTGAAGTAAAAAACCTTCTCAGATTACTACCGTGTAAGCTTGTGAAATGAAAAAAAAGGTTAGGTAGGTTTAAGAGGGTTAATTTATAAATAAAAGTTATTTCGTTTTTATTCCTCTTCTTCCCTAACCCAATCCGGGTTCGAATATTGGGAAAGGCTCTGGTTGAACGACTTTTAGATACAATTTATATTTAATGATTTCCATCAGAGTGGATATTCCCTTCTCTTGTATAATTCATTTGTTTACCTAATATGGTTCATGAGATCCGAACCCTTCACTGATGGACGGATGGTAGGACAGTGGAGGCTTAAGAAAACCTTATCACCCTTTGGGTACTGTTCTCTAAAAGAGTTATTTATGTTGAGTTGCCATTTGAACAAATAATTTGTGTTTTACCGAGTTACAACGACTAGAGATGACTAGAGATGCTAAATGTGAGTGGCCGATTTTAATTTTCCGCATACATAATTCTTAAAGATTCAAAAGGAAGTCATAAATTTATTAGGTTAAGTTGTGAGAAGAATAATAATTGAATTTAAAGAAAATATTACTAGAAAAAAATATACGTGGTCGTTCGTAATATAACTTACTATCAAGCGGGTCGTTCTTTTTTGCTATCCTGCGGTAGCATTCCATCCGAACAGCTTCCGTACCTTGCAGTTCCAGGTGAGGTTCAGGGGGGCGTTTCTCGCTGCTCAGATGGCGTTAAGAACTGCGGTAGTGAGCTTCTCGGCTAGCTCGTATTCCGTTGATTTCCAAGTACGTGGAGTTTCATGTAAGAAAGCGGGGGAGATAGACATACAGCCATACTTTACCTATCATTTGAGCAGCTCATTCCCTGAAGTTCCTAGTACATGGAGTTAGGAACTGCGGTAATGTTCTAATCAGACGGCTTCCATTCCGTGGAGTTCCAAGAAAGTGAAGTTAAGAACTGCATTCCGTGGAGTTTCATGTAAGGATGCAGGGGAAATAAAGTTACAGCACCGATTATTTGAGCAGCTTGTCGCCGTGGGACCGTGTATGTTTCCTACTCTTTTGCGAATTAAAATGAAAGAAAAACGAGTACACATACCAACTACAGTAGCGAGGATAAGTAGGCCAAGAACAACGGCCTTGCCAGCGGCGCGGATGAGCGCGGCGGGCGTGTCGAAGGGCGCGGACGCTGCCCAGGTGGCGTTAGGCACTGCGGTGGCGTTCCACCCGGGCAGCTCCCATTCCGTGGAGTTCCAGGTGAGGTTGTGGGGAAGCCGGACGTACAGCGCCTCCCATTCGAGCAGCTCATCGCGGCCGTCCGCGCCCTCCATGCCCTCTCACCGGAACTCCACACCAACTACTGAGAACGAGAAGCAACATCATCAGCCTATTCATTACAGCCCGCCGTACTACTACTGCTGGGGCACGGGCTTTTGCTCTTGATGATAAATGGAGGGTAGTCTATGTTCACCATACGGGATCAGGGGGATTGCTAGATGCTTACGACTCCAGATGCAGTCAGGACCAACGGCTTAACGTGTCTTCTGAAGCATGGAGGAGCTCGAGATAATGTACTTAGTTGTAAAGTATTGCATAGAAAGATATCTGAAGTTTCTCCATAGAAGAGGGGCAAAGTTTGAAAGCCCAAGTTCGGTTTCTGGCATGTAGAAAAGTAAATGATGATTGATTGATTCAAGCCTATCTTGTTCATTCGTTCCTAATATGTTCGCATTTAACACAGTTTTAAACGGTTATAAATTATCTGATTATAATAAAAAAAACAAACACATAAAACCGGGTTTATATTGGTCCGACGTGTTATATCGTTCACATCTATATATATGTAGCCATCTGATGATGTATATTATATTGGTAAATAGTACTTTCGTAGCTCTCGGAGAGGTGACTGATTCGGATTTTGAAGAAGATATTTAGTTTTAGGAACTGGCAAGGCTTTTAAAGAAAAAAAGAAAGAAAAGACGATTTTGGGTTTTTCCTTTATCTCGTTCCAAACAGCTGATGTAATGGTATATATGATATTTTTATTTTTCTGGTTTTATAAACATTTACGCTTGGAAAAATTACGGTCTATTAAATATTCTTCTTTTTATAAGAACTTTTTCACAGTCTTGCACGTGTTCAATATTGCTGCTTTTTGTAGAGTAAGTAGGTAGTAAGGACTAAGTTTATTAATTTTGTACTATTTTGGAGGATTTTAAATTAAATGCGACGTAGACATAACAATCGGAACCATAGAAAGTCTTTGTGTTCTGTAATCGGAATATAAAATTTATTTTGATCCCTGTAATTTTCGATCAACAATTCTATAGATAACGGATTGCATACAAAATCAAAGCTTAAAACTGACCGCTTATGTTTAAACTTATGCAGCTACACTCGATTCCCAATGAACAAAGATAAATGTTTTAAAACAGTTTAAGTTGCACCTAATAACAACTATCTCACAAAGGAATAAGTTTACAAATAACAAAATGTTATTTCGCCCATACGACCTTTTATCTTATAAAATGAACTCTTGGTCCTTTTAGAAATTATATCTGATACTTGGAAAAAAACGATAAAGGTGAAAAAAGGAAAATGCAAAATCAACCTTATGACCCACAAAATAAAATATTTTTACCAGTCATTGGCCAGCGAGTTACTTCATTTGTACTAACGAACTAATTTAAAATAAGATCTCACGCCTCAAGTGAGGCTATATTTACCGAGACGGATTTTATGCGCTGACCCGTTATCTATAGAATAGTTGATCGAAGCCTGTAATGAAAAATTTCAGCCTTCATATCAGTCTGTATGTTTACTTACTTCCTACTAATAAAACAAGTTTTTTTATTATTTAAATTAATGATTTAATATGATTTCATTAAAATACTCACTGTTATTATTGTATTTCGTATATAGTAAACTTATTGTTCGATCCATCATTATTAGTTTGATTATTGCTTGCGTTACAATCTGAAACAAGAAGAAATAATGATTAGTCATTTAATTGTAATATTTGAACGGATCAAACACAAAGTTTGAAGAAAGATTCAATTTTACATAATATAAAAACAACCACTTGACAACGAATACAGAGCACTAGCCATTCTTTTAGTAACGTGAAAATAAACGAAGACAATTTTTATTTCATGCGGAAATTGTGACAAAGTGGAATATGGTCGCCTGAAAAGCGGCCGCCATTGCCTAGTCAAATAAAAGTGCAGTGCACTTTGAAAATTGAAATGCGTGAAAACCACTAGCAAGTCCTTGACTGTACTGTGTAGTTACTTAGGTATTCAACCTAAGAACAAAAATCGTTGAAATGTTTTACAAAAACGTTTACATTATAATGTATATATATGTATAATGTTTTACAAAAACGTTTACATTATGATATATAATATAGCATTTTCATACTGCCTATTATCGTTTCGGATTTCAGAAATATAGCAGAATACAGAAATTGAATACGCTGCACCTACCAGTACCCTTAGCACGAATCAATATCGAATTCGAATAGTTTGCGAATCCGAAATGTCATAGTCAAATGTGTACTAATTTTTAGTTCTCGTTACGTACTTTGTGGCGCTGCTGTTCAAGTTTCTATACAAAATTTGATGGTTCGTGCTAGGGGTACAGTAAGAGTATTTGTTACGACAGGGTTCGTGAACTTGAACCTTTTGAAACACGATGTTTGTTTACTTGATCATCCATCTCTTATTCATTCATGTCACGTAGCTAATCGCTCTTTTGGGTTGATACCTACTAACTTCTGATTTTCAACTTTCTTAGTTGGACCCTAGCGACAGTGTTGACACGAATACCAAATCATGCTTATTTTAATATGGGTATGATTTTATCAAAAAATGTATTTTAGACGATTTAAAAAATAATATTAGTTCTTAATATAAGAGATCTGTCATCTAAATGAAATCACTAAATATTATCAATAAGTGACAAATCTAAACGTCTTAGCCATGGTGTCAATAAATGTTTTGCAAAAAAAAATTTTTAAGTTTTATGTCACGCAGCATTTTCCCCATCCCCAGATGTTGGTAAGCGAGCTTGCGCTATAGCGTCATTATAACTGAGGTCCTGGGTTCAATTCCCGCGGGTTTGTGAGTATGTACCTATATACTTATGTTTGTAAAAAAAATGGGTTTCCTACGTATATCATTTTAATTTTCAGACCACGTTATGAACCAATCAATCGAGTTAACATTAAACATTAAAATGTTGAATAACGTTCGTTTTATTTTTACATTTTTTTCATCCTTATGTTTAGGATGTTGATATATACGTGCTATGTATTCATCTTTAACCCCGTTTCTAAAAACTTTTCATAACCATTATTTCAGAAAAACATTTAAGTTAAAACCTACTTAGGTATAAATTGATTTACTTCTAGAAGATATTTACTAGAAGTTAGACCTTGAATATGAACTACGACATTGTTATTGATTAATTTTAAATAGAACTAATACACTTCTAGGAAAATTACAAAGTATTAAAAGACGTAACTGTTATGGTTAGGTCATAAATATCTGAAACAAGATTAGTGTAGTGGATTTGATTGGAGTTTATCGACTGAAATAGGTATAAAATACAAATGAATCGCTTACTAATTTTGAATTCCAAAACCAAGTTTTTTTTTCGAAAATATTATAGCTTTACCTAATGTTCATTATTATGATTACAACTAATAGGTAAGTAAAAAAATAATAATAGGAACCATATTGAAAAATTTTGCTCAATATTATTGCTAAATTATCATCAATATTAAAATGACTGCTTGCAATAATAAAAATATACAGGACAAAAAGTGTATTACATAAAAAGTAAATAAATCATATCCAAATCATAAAATTACTTAAATAGGTAATTTGTACCTACAATCCCTAGACTTTTTAACGTAGACCTATATCCAACGCGCTTATTAAGTTTATACGTTGGTAATAAAATGAAAAACATAAGCTTTTCCGAACGATCCTACTTTCGTGCACGATCTATGTTCGTTTTATCAGGACTCTAATATCCCTGAAAATGGAAAGCGTGTGCTTTCTGAAGATACGCCGGCCATTTCTAGAACGTATTTTTATAGAAACAAGACTCCAAATTCATTTCCGCCGATATAACAACAGTGATTTATTGGTGATCTTATGTCTTTTTTTATACGAGGAGCAGCAAATTACCTCACTCCACCTGATGTAGAGTCCAGTCGAAATAGATGATGCGGCAAAAAGTGTCCCGCTACAGCCATCTTCACCTTGCCGGTCCGGACCCAATCCCCTACCCCGCAAAGACCTGGAACATTCCTGGAATCCTACTCATCATGTCAGCCTTAACACGCCCACTGCTGAGCATAGGTCGTCCGGTGCGTGTTCGCCATTCCAGAACCTTTCCGCCCAAACGGCCATCGGTTCTTCTTGCTACGTGTGAATCCTACTCACCAGCAGAAAAACAACACCACCTAAAGTTAGTGTTATGTTACTGTAATCTTCTGTATGTGGATCTTGCTTCCCCAGACGGGCACTCCGATTAGTGAGGAAAATAAATTGTGCCCTACCTCTCTTAAAAATTGGCATTTTATTTAATACAAGCTAGTGCTTGCGACTTTGCGTGCATACCCTTTTTCACCTGCAGACGGGACTTGAGCCCGAAATTTTTTTTTATAAGAAGATTCAAGTAGGACTTAGGCAAAAAACAACAAACAGACTGTATTATTTCTGCAACACATAATTGCGTGTTGCTTTTACTAAGATTTAGATTAGAAAGAAAGGAAGATTTTCGAGACTGAGAAAGAAGTTGAAAAATGTTATAATTTAATTTTTGTTAGGCATGTTGCAACTGCTCGATGTTTATTTGTGCCCGTCTGCTGCTTGGTCCGCGTGGAATTTTATCTAGTAATATTTTCTTTAGATTAAGGCTGCTTTTCTACCAGATATGTGCTATGTTACGTTGCTGTGTATGCGTTTGATATCCACCAATCAAAATCATTGGTCCACATAGCATAGCACTGGTGGAAACGGGTTCACCTAAGATATGTTTTTTTTATGGAAGGATGCGTGCTATGGATGCCTGCTAGGGATGCGTGCTCTGGATGCGGGTTATGATGTCCGCGAGTGGTGTAACTATAGCCAGAGAATAGTGCCCGCATTTGTCACTGAAAGTAGACATGCTATCGTGGAAGCAAAAAGTTATTTTGTATCTCGCAATGTGCAAAGAAGAACTCATGGCGGAAGATAAATCGTTGTTCCTCTGTTTACTTTGCGGTGGCGCATCTTCATAGCACATCTTACTTCCGCTATATGTAGCTTAGCATCAGTGGAAACGGTCACGTAGTTTCGTAGCTTAGCTGACACATCCTCGCAGCATAGCTGCATAGCACATCTCTGGTGGAAAAGCATCCTTAAAGTTGAAGAATGGTTAATATACATAGGTACTACTAATCCATAATTATGTAATATAAGTTTTAGTATACTTAATATTTTATGATGAATGATCAAAGTGGAAGATGATTTGAGCGATTATCACCTTTTTCGAAATTTTCAACTTAGTCCCGTCCGCTGCCTGGTACGCCTGGATTTTTTTCAAGTAAAACTTTTCTTTAGATTTTAACATCTAGCAGTTTATTGCTTAAAAAAATAAAAAAAAGCATAACTATAATTGCTATTTCTTCTTTCAAATGTTTAATACTTGAAAAAGTATTCATTTGACATTGTGGGTTACCTACAATGCGAAGAGATGGCGCTGCCTTGCAGCTTAAGGGTAGGAAAATTTCGACGCGGCCATCAGGGCCGTGGTAGCATAATTGGTCAGTGCATTCGCCTGGATTGCGAAGGGTGCGGGTTCGTGTCCCGTCCGCTGCCTGGTCTGCGTGGATTTTTTTCTAGTAAAACTTTTCTTTAGATTTAATCATCTAGCAGTTTAATGGTTAAAAATAACCATAAAAACACCTGTTTACATTCCTTTATTTATAAATACGTAAATAAGAAAACCCAAAAAATTTACCGGAAATACGATTCGAAGGTAAGAGTATAACTTTACACGTGAATAATCGGTTAAATCATCTTTTTTCGCAAATTTCACCTAAGCTATACTTACTTCAAAATGGTATAAGGTACACTCGTGACAACAATTTGATTAATTACCTTTACTTTTAAACATATAAGAAAAATCAAAACTGTGACCCGAAATACGTTTCACAGATGAGAGCATAAGTTTTCACGCAAAAAATGGTAAAAACGGATGGCTAAAATCGTCTATTTTCGCAAATTTCACCTTAGTTTAACTTAAAAATAGCGTTAGGTACTCATGTTAACAATTTAATTACTTTTTTTAAGCACTTTTAAATTAATAATAAAAACTAAAGCAGTTACCAGTACATCAGTTTTCTGTTTTGTGACAGTGTCTGATACAATGTCTGCTTTCACCTTAATTCCAAGTTATGGTTAGACCTTAATAAGCTTGTTAAATAAGTAATGATTACGTACCTATTTGTGTGACATTTGAAAGTCACGGAAATTCGCCAAGATGTCAGTGGTAATATTAAATCTTTAAATAGTTCAGCAGTTGTACTGTGATTTATAGTGCCCGTCGTACTGTAGTAAGTAACCTTCGCTCTCACCTTGGTAATCAATAGCATGTCCTATGGATTGATTATAAAGCAAACTTGTATTTCCTTGGATCTGATTTTCCATTTACGGTATTTAATTTAGAGAGAGTTAGTAATTCTGTTTTATAGCTGCCTTTGATATAAAAGAGTAGTTATTATTGTTTGTTAGTAAGTAAGTGACACCAGTGACTGACAAGAAGCAATTATCGTCATTTTTTTCGGTGGACAATGAAAATAAAGTTGGTAACCGATCACTAAAGATACCAACCAAAATGATCGTTAGGGTAACACCGATATTTTTTTATATAATTTATTCATGCCCATGGATACAAGTCCATACATATAAATACAAATCTTG